TAAAATTAAGTAATAATTAAAAAAAATAGATTTTACATGCCCAGTTGTCCACATAGGCCCAAAGAATAAGATCAAGTTACAGCACAAAAGAACCTGGACAGTAGCTATTTCCTGATAGGAAAAAAGGTTTCTATGATGACTAAATACTCAGAGGTGGACCTGAAGAATACTCAGGGGTAGGGGATGAAGTGGGAGGGAAAAGGATAATGGCCTAAAAAAAGAGTCACTAACTACAGAAATCGATTGTTTTGGTCTGAATGTATTTCCCCAAATTCATATTTTGAAGAATTTTTTGAAGTTTATTTATTTTGTGAGTGAGAGAGAGAGAGAAACAGTACCCTCAAGAAGATCTTGAATTGCAAACCCCTCCCCTAGCCTCAGACAACCCTGGATCATGGGCATACAGATCCCTAGTATGCTTAGGGAGGTCTCCGGACATGAACCCAGAACCATCACAAGTAGATCAGTCTCTCAGAGTGTTGCATTTTATAACTGCATCACTGTCCAGCCCCCATATGTAGAAACTTAATCACCTAAGTATTAAGAGGTGGGGCGCTTTAGGGAGTGATTAACTCATGAGGGCAGAGATTAGGACACTACAAAAAGGCTTGAGGGAGTTCTCTCTCTCTCTCTCTCCCCCCCTCCCTCCCTCCTCTCTCTTCTGTTCTACCAGGTGAGGAAGTGTTTGATCCTTCTGAAGGAAGCAGTCTGTTCTATCAGGCGAGGAAGTGTTTGATCCTTCTGAAGGAAGCAGCATTTAAGATGTCATCTTGGCAACAAAAACCAAGCTCTCACAAGACACCAAATCTGTTTCCAGTTTGATCTTGGACTTCCTAGGAAAAACAGAGAAATAAATCTCAGTTGTTTTTATAAATTATTTGGTCTTGACTATTTTGTTATAGCAGCACTAACAGACTAAGATATACATAAAAACAAAAATCCATAAGCAATGATAGACTAGACTTTGTGGGCCAGTCTGAGCATTGAGCTCTGACTGTTGGGCAGCATTATGGTTTTATTCTTGGCAATCCACTTCTTGACCATGTGGCCTTTCTTGCAATAACTCTCCTAGGTGCCCTCCTTACATACTGCCTTCTGCCCCCACCCACGTACCCCACACCCCGCCCTCTCACCTCAGAACATTCTGTTCAAAAGACAGTAGGGACTAAGCAAGAGCAGAGGAAAAGAACCAAGAGAACCAGAGAGCAGCTAGTTGAAATAGAATCCAAGACCAGGGGAGTGGTCCTAGGGAATGGAGCCAGGAGTCTAAGTGCCAGGTGGAGGGTTAGAGAGGGTGGAGTAAGAGAAACATCTCAAGGCCACAGTTAGCTGGTGAAGCCAGTCCTGGCGGCAGAACTGCCCACTAAGTTCGACAGAACCCCGTGGAAATTGGACAGCACAACCTGTCTTTCAGCTCCACTCTGACTTTCTCCAGATGCTCTGTGCAGTTTGAAGTATTGCTCAGCTTTTCATATAAAAACTCATAATCCTTTTGAGAACGTAAGTGGTTCAATTCTCTTCATTCTAGGGATTCACAAATATGAAAAGATGAAGCAGTTTTCCCAACGTCACTCGGCAAGACCAATGAAGCTCAGAGCTCTGAGTCTTCGTCTAAGGGTCCAATAGCAAAGCCTTCCAAACAAATATACCAAAGCGACAAAATAAGTCAGAGTCAACAAAAAGTCACATGAATTAAATTGTATTTTTTTCATTTTCATGAGAAAACTTGCTTCTGACCAAAATACTGAGTTCTTTTTCTTATGTTTTATAGCATGGGGTTCTTGTTCTTTCTTAACTCTCATAAGAATTTCCCAACAATCTTCATGTTCTTAAGATCCTGAGAGAGCCAAGGACATTCCTGAAGACTGGATTTATTTAAAACGCTGAGATGTCAATTTCTAGATATTTCATTCCATTGAATTTTGAGAGTCACTAAATGTTTAAACATGTAATTAATTCTAAAGACATTTTATTTTTTGTTTACTCAGAAAACAGAAACAGATTGCAACAACAGACTATTAGACATGCCTTGGAATTTATATAAGAAACCAATGAGTTTTAAAAAATAATTAAGATCTAGATATGAAGAGTTAAAGCTGTCAAAGCAAATAAACTTAAAATACAAAGTTGTTTTTCATAAAGACTCCCTCCTCTCTCTTCTGTTCTATCAGGTGAGGAAGTGTTTGATCCTTCTGAAGGAAGCAGCATTTAAGATGTCATCTTGTCAACAAAAACCAAGCTCTCACAAGACACCACATCTGTTTCCAGGAAGTGTTTGATCCTTCTGAAGGAAGCAGCATTTAAGATGTCATCTTGGCAACAAAAACCAAGCTCTCACAAGACACCAAATCTGTTTCCAGTTTGATCTTGGACTTCCTAGGAAAAACAGAGAAATAAATCTCAGTTGTTTTTATAAATTATTTGGTCTTGACTATTTTGTTATAGCAGCACTAACAGACTAAGATATACATAAAAACAAAAATCCATAAGCAATGATAGACTAGACTTTGTGGGCCAGTCTGAGCATTGAGCTCTGACTGTTGGGCAGCATTATGGTTTTATTCTTGCCAATCCACTTCTTGACCATGTGGCCTTTCTTGCAATAACTCTCCTAGGTGCCCTCCTTACATACTGCCTTCTGCCCCCACCCACGTACCCCACACCCCTGCCTCTCACCTCAGAACATTCTGTCTGCCCTCCTGTCAGTCAGAGGGGCTTTATAATGTGGGGTACATGGAAGATCCAACAGTTTCAACAAGAAGCAAGTGGAGAGCTAATCTGTAGGCCCCTGGAGGAAAGAGCAAGCCAAAGTTTGGAGGTGGTTAGCTCGACAATCAAAATGACAGCATGGCCAAAGAGGGTGGATTCTGAGGCTCTAGTCCCTGAGAGACTGGTGGTGAGGGGAGCTAGGCAGAGGCCCAGTTCAAAAGACAGTAGGGACTAAGCAAGAGCAGAGGAAAAGAACCAAGAGAACCAGAGAGCAGCTAGTTGAAATAGAATCCAAGACCAGGGGAGTGGTCCTAGGGAATGGAGCCAGGAGTCTAAGTGCCAGGTGGAGGGTTAGAGAGGGTGGAGTAAGAGAAACATCTCAAGGCCACAGTTAGCTGGTGAAGCCAGTCCTGGCGGCAGAACTGCCCACTAAGTTCGACAGAACCCCGTGGAAATTGGACAGCACAACCTGTCTTTCAGCTCCACTCTGACTTTCTCCAGATGCTCTGTGCAGTTTGAAGTATTGCTCAGCTTTTCATATAAAAACTCATAATCCTTTTGAGAACGTAAGTGGTTCAATTCTCTTCATTCTAGGGATTCACAAATATGAAAAGATGAAGCAGTTTTCCCAACGTCACTCGGCAAGACCAATGAAGCTCAGAGCTCTGAGTCTTCGTCTAAGGGTCCAATAGCAAAGCCTTCCAAACAAATATACCAAAGCGACAAAATAAGTCAGAGTCAACAAAAAGTCACATGAATTAAATTGTATTTTTTTCATTTTCATGAGAAAACTTGCTTCTGACCAAAATACTGAGTTCTTTTTCTTATGTTTTATAGCATGGGGTTCTTGTTCTTTCTTAACTCTCATAAGAATTTCCCAACAATCTTCATGTTCTTAAGATCCTGAGAGAGCCAAGGACATTCCTGAAGACTGGATTTATTTAAAACGCTGAGATGTCAATTTCTAGATATTTCATTCCATTGAATTTTGAGAGTCACTAAATTTTTATACATGTAATTAATTCTAAAGACATTTTATTTTTTGTTTACTCAGAAAACAGAAACAGATTGCAACAACAGACTATTAGACATGCCTTGGAATTTATATAAGAAACCAATGAGTTTTAAAAAATAATTAAGATCTAGATATGAAGAGTTAAAGCTGTCAAAGCAAATAAACTTAAAATACAAAGTTGTTTTTCATAAAGAATATTTTAAAGGCTGTGTAAGGTGTATCCATAATAAAAATATTTTATAAAATTGTTTTAGAGTCAGAAGACAAACCTATTACCGAAAGTTAGCTCGGAAGGGAAACAGGTAGTTGTTTCCTAAAATAAAGCACTAAGGACTAGGCGGCATAACTCAAAAGAATCCTGATTTTTATTATGTGTCTCATTTTTACTTCTAGGTTTAAAGAAAATATTCTTCATATTTTCAGGTTTTTCAGTAACTAAATAATTTAATTCTAAGCTAATCAAAGTCTAAATTGGCTTTAATAAAGGAAATTTGTGTAAATCCAGTAAATTCAAGAAATATCAGTGTCTATGATTGAAGGGTTACTTTCACTCTTCTGATAGTTTTCACTGCTCTTGAAGTGAGCAGTAGCCCTCTTTCCTCCAGAAGCTTAGTTTCCATTGGAAGTGGTTGTCTTCTCACTTTCCCTCTCTCCCTCTTTCTGTCTCTCTCTGACCAAATTTTTTAAAAATAATAAATTAAAAGTAAATTAATAAAACTGAATTGAGCTAATATGACTGATCTACTCCCACAGTTACGGGCGTTTGTTGATTGAATATAAAACTTATTCTTTGTTCAATTCATTTAATTAAGTAATATCTATTGCTAAAGTATCAGAAACTGTGTACTGTTTTTATCATTGAGCAAATTAGTCAAGGCCAATTCAGGCTATGGTAACAACCTCAAACTCCCAGTGGCTTTACACAGAGTTTATTTATAGCTCATACAAAACTGGGCAGGTGACCTTGAGTGAAGCTGCCCTTTACATGGTGTGTTGATATGCCTGCATGTTTTGGTTATACAGAGACATCCATATCAAAATAGCCTTCTATAATTGCCACGGCTAGAGAGAGAACAGGGAAAATCATGTTCTGACTCTGAAGTCCTTTAACCTGAAGAAACACAGAATTTCGCTTACATCCTTTTAGTTTATTTATTTTTCTTTAGAAAATAGGGCGCATATAGGGCGCATAGATGCTATAGGGCGCATGCGCTTGCCAGAAAGAAAGAGAGAGATGGAGAGATAGAAAGCGAGAAATCATCCCCAAGGGGGGATGGCCATGCCACAATCTCTTCTCCTCCATTCTCCTCTCGGGGATCTTGGGCACGCACACACACGCGCCCGGCATGAGTTTAAGCCACTGGGTCCAGGATCCAAACTGTGGTCTACTACATGGGAGTTCAGTGATATAGCCATTACGCTAACTGCTGGTCCCACATCCTTTATTTTAGGTTTATTTATTTCTTCTGAGTGAGAGAGAGAAGAGACAAGAGACAGACAACCCCAGTAAGACCTTGATACCATAACCCACCTAGCCTCAGCTGGCCCAGACAAAGGCCTGTGCACACATGACCGACATGGTCAGGGAAGTCCTGGGACATATACTCAAGCGTTTTCCATGTGGGCCCAGTTGCATTACCACTGCATCATCACCTGGCCCCCATTTACATTTATTGATCGAAGTGGGTCATATCCATAATGTCGAAGAAATTAGGAAGGAATCTGTCCAGTAAGGGAAGGAGAATCCAAAGGATTGAAGCATTAAGAAAGAGCACAGTGGGTTGGGCAATGAGCTTAACACAGTGGTTTTCAAACTTTAGTGTGTGTCTAAATTATGGCAAAGTTTGTTAAACCAGAGATCGCTGAGCCCCACCCCCCAGAGTTTCAGTAGGTCTGGGCAGGACTGAAAAATTTTCCATTTTAACAAGTTTCCAGGAAATGTTGATGCTGCTAGTCCAGAAATCTTGTTTTGAGATCCTGGGTTCAAAATATCTATAAGCAGTCTTTTCTTATTTTAAAAGGCCACAATTTAAACTGAGTTAGAGTGCAAAAAAAAAAAAAAGTTTCTACTTAATTGAGAGAAATACTAGCGTGAAATGATCAGGAGTGGCCAAGACCAGCACAAATAACAGCTACAGCTACTGCCTCCCCCACCTCCTCTCACTTGCTTGAGGGGATTCCTCTCACCTTCCCGCCTGATCTTACTCTAGCACCTTGTCATGGCTCCATTTCTAGCTACCTATCCTTCCCTCTGGTCCTCTTTTACTCTCAGTCACCCTAAGACCACAATTTTGTACATTTACTTTCACCATTGATCAACACTTAGCTGCTTAATAAGGTCCAAATCCCTACCCTGTTTATCCTGGACTCCAGTGTGATTGAGAATAGATTATATGGAAAGGAAGTTGGCAGAACCATGGAAGAGACAGTAGCAGTAGTTAAGGAGATGCCTAAGGAGAATGGGTCCCATATCAACATCTCAGAAGAAACTGTCCCGACAGAATACTTTTGGCAAGATCCATTAGTGCAATCATTATTAATGATCACCTGCTGTGATCATTAATAATATGGAGGAAAACATTAGCCCCTCTATGACCAGGAAAACAATTGGCAAGAAACCTAAGGCCCAGTTGGGTGCTTCTGTATTCGAGTTCCCATGAACTCACTTTTCCCAAAACATTTAGCCCTTAGAGCCCATGGGCCTCTCTCTTTGGGGAAGGCAGATGCAAAATAGTGGAAACAAAAGAAAATGCCAGGTTTTAGAATAGGTGGCAGGGCAAGCCAGAGACCTCTCAAGGCGGGCCATTACTACTGTTCACATGTCATCATCTGTTCTTACTTTAGTCTGCTCTTCTTTTGCTAACAACTCAATTCTGTCCTAGGTGATTAATAAAATAGAGATTTATTCAGCTCAAGGTTTGGGAGGTCCAAGGTCAAGGAGCTACATCAGGTGAAGGTCTTTTTGTTGGTGGGAATTCTCTGCAGAGTTCCAAGGCAGGACAGGGGATCACATGGGAATCGGATCAAGAGCAGAGCATATGTATCCTGTCTCTGTGTCACTTTGTTTATAAACCCACCAAGCTACAACCATGGTGAACCCACCCTGATAACCTTATGTAATCCTAATCACCTCCCAAAGGCCCTCCCTCTTAATTCTCCAGTCATATTAAGTTTCTATGCGCTTAATCCCATCACAACCAAATTACAACTCATGAATTTTGAAGGGACACATTCAAACCATAGTACCATCTATCACGTATCCTGTAAGCCAGATTTCTGTGGCTATTCCAAAGGCTCTCTCTGGTTTCCCAGCAGGAAAGACTATGCAGGTTCAACCCCAATTTTCTAGTGTCATTGGTCATCTTTGCAGATATTGGGACAGGCACAGCCAGGCATGCTTTCCCATAATATCCATGAAGCATAAACAATGTGCCTCAACTCTGACCTAGAGAGGACACTTCTGGGGTTGATGATGCTGCATCAACTAAAAATGAGAACGTTTTGTTTCCTTGTGTTATTTGATGACACCAGATTCTATGGCATCTATTTCAGTTCTCCAAAAGTGAAAAGCTATTGGGCCCACCTGGGTGCCTCTGCACTCAAGTTCCCATGAACTCACTTTTTCCAAAATACTTAGTTGGCTGTGTAACCAGGTGTCAAGTCATCAAAATTCATGAGATGTGTCAAATACCCAAGGTATAATTTAAAATTAGGTCTGCTGCTAACATTAACCTTGTCCATAGGGGATTCCCAGACCCCTTCTGCTACTCACCACTCACAGTCTATGAGTGGAATTTCTGAGCAGTCAGCAATTCCAGGTTTTTGATGGTTTGTAATTTCAGTTTCTTCACTACTTTATTAACTTGTGATTCCTTTTTCTTTATCATAATAGCTTTCTGTGTTCTACTGTTAACACTGAGTTCCCTACTTAGTTTTTTTTTCTCTTTTTTTGCTGTAGGGCGCGTGCGCTCGCCAGACAGAGAGAGACAGAGAGACAGAAAGCGAGAAATCACCCCCCAGGGGGGATGGCCACACCACAATCCCTTCTCCTCCGTTCTCCTCTTGGGATCTTGGGCACGCATGCACACGCGTCCGGCGTGAGTTTTAAGCCACCAGGTCTGGGACACAAACCGTGGTAGACTACATGGGAGTCCAGCGACATAGCCATTACACTAACTGCTGGTCCCCCTACTTAGTTTTGTAAGCTTTTTCCTTGGTTATGTTTGTTCTTATTCATTGTATACATTTTTGTCTGTTTTGTCATGGAAAGATAATAAGGGACTATTAATATATTTTGGTATGGTTCTGTAATGTTAAGAAATTTTTCAGAAAATGTAAAAGATAAAATTAAGGAGAAGTGCATCTATATCAAAATCAACTTTTATCTTTTTTATTATCTTAAAAATTAATACTTATTCTCCCAAACCCATTGTAAAATTGTACAGTTGAGTTTTGTTGTTTTGTTTTGGGGTTTTCCTGCTATAGAACACATGTGCTCATCAGAGACAGAAAAGGGGGTTGGAGAAGTAAGAGATCATCCCCCAGGAAGATAATCACACTACAGTCTCCTCTTGGGATCTGAGACAGCAAAGCTGCTGGGTCTGGGACTTGAAACACATAGTTACCACATGGGATCCAGCAGCCTTAACCACCATGCCAACCATCGGCCCTGAATCTCTTTTCTAAGCCTAGGCTGAAGTAGCTGCCACTACCCATGGCTCATCCTTCTTACTGGAATGAAGGGGCACGAGAGGAGAGTGCAGAAGTATGCAGTGTCTCTTGAGACCTTGGCTTGGAACCAACACATGGTTACCTCTACCCACATTTCATTGGCCAAAGAAGGTCACATGGCCAAGCCCAATATCAAAATGGTATACAAAAATATAATCTTCCTACAGTGAGAAGTACTTCAAATCCCATGAAAGATAAGACATACCATGTTATTATAGAGTGGAGTGAAGATTTCATTTTATAATGTGGGGGCAATAATCCTGATTACTATAGATAAAATAAGACTTTTTAAGAATTTTTTTTAACTTTTTATTTTTTAATTCAACCAGAGAGGGACAGAGCGAGTGAGCAAGTGAGAAAGCAAGCCACCAGGTCTGGGACTCGAACCATGGTCAGCCATGTGGAAGTCCAGTGCCCTTAACCACCACACCACCTGCTGGCCCCAAAACAAGACTTCTTAACATCATCAGGAACTATAGACTTCATCAACAGATGAGTTGGGTTTCATATGCATATGATATATTTTTTTAGACAAAGTCTCATTTTGTCTCAGTCCTCCTACCTCAGCTTCCCAAACTGCTGTGACTACAAGCACAGGCCACACACCTAGCTTTAGGGTAGGCTAGGACCTGAAGTTGGGCTTTCCCTGTGATTTCAACCTGCAGAGCGGTAGCATCTTTACCAATAGGCTACTGAGGCTGGGCCAAGAATGTGATGTCATACATGATACAATCTATTTGAAGCCTTAGAAACTCTCTGTGGACTTCTGGATTCAAAATGATCAGTCAGTGATCTGAACTCTTTCTCCCACCTTCCCAGTCTACTAAACTGGTATTCAACTGTGGCCAAGAGGGCCCCGTTTTATATTTCTGAACTGAATACAAGCTAACCCTTAGAAAGGCAGCACTTCCTTCCCTCCTAATCTAATTTAGTGCTTGGAAAAGTTCCCTGTTTAAGATACTCATGCTCTAAATTTAAAAGAATTCTATTTCTTCAGGCAAGTTTTTTTTTTTTCTTTTAAATTCAGTTTCATAATGGAGTCTAATCAGAATGGTCCAGAATGAGGATGGGTGGATGGATAAGGAAAGAATCAGGAGTTACAAGGGATGCTGCAAGTCCACTAAGCTGTTAGATGTCATTCTGATCTCAAAGATTTAAACAAAAAGAAATGAAAAGGAAGACGGGGGAAAAAACACTTTTCTTTGAAATCTCAGAGTTGTTTGCTTCTAAAAGCAAAAATGTTGATCTTACCTCTTAGCAGAGTATTTTTCCTATTGATTCATCACTTTATTGCTTTTCTGTCTTCTCAGAACTTGAATGGGCATCCCTTTCAGTGGCCAGTAATCTTTCTTCTTGACTGTGTCCAGAGACCTTGCTCTTTTCATCCTTGTTCATTTTTTTCCTTCTGATTCTGCTGTTTGATGCTTTTTGTTCTTGTCGAATCTTTGAAGCCATATTCAGACTCTGTTTAATGTTTTTAAACACACACATACATTCGTTTTAGGGGGATAAAAATGACATGTATTTTGAAAGTCATGTGAAATCACTGAACATACTGTTGGGCAGTGTGGTCATTTGTCCTTTTCAGTGAGAAATTTTAGCTTCCTATATTCTGTGTATTCTGCAGGGCACTTACTTTACTTGAGATAACTCCTTTCAACCCTATCATTATATTACAAAATGAAAAACACCCCCACTTTTTTTTTTGTCTGTAAATTTATGAGGCAATTCCAGAATAATAGCTTGCATTAAGGCCTTGCAGTTCTTCCACTTTATGGTTAACAAGAATCCTGAGCCCAAACCATGGAACAATGCAAGGTTGAACCAGTCAGAGACAGAAAACCACTATTTTAAGCTATGCTATTATTTAAGAAACTTACTTGGCTCCTTGGGTTTTAAAAGAAAAAGGGACAGAATTGTGAATGTTTTAATCCTTTTTATTGTATTACATGATTTACATATATTCACTGTACATATTTGTGTACAGTATAGTTTTTAAAAGCATGTGCCTAGTGTATAATAATCAGATCAAGAATATGATTATATTCATTATCTTCAACCCTTAACACTACATTTGGTTGTGAACATTTATTTATTTATTTATTTATTTATTTATTACTATGGGTATTCTTGGAGGAGAGAGCTAGGCAACGTATATGTGGTTTTATTTGTATGCATTCGTAAAGACACAATTTATTTATTCATTTATTTATTTTGCTATAGGGCACGTGCGTTCGCCAGAAAGACAGAAAGCGAGAAATCATCCCCTGGGGGGATGGCCATGCTACAATCCCTTCTCCTCCATTCTCCTCTCGGAATCTTGGGCATGCACACACACACGCCAGTCATGAGTTTAAGACACCGGGTCCTGGACTTGAACCACGGTCAGCTACATGGGAGTCCAGCAACATAGCCATTACGCCAACTGCTGGTCCCGTTGTGTACATTTAATATTCATTCTGCTAGTCTTTTTTGGTGGGAGGGGAGGTATATAATGAATTATCAACTTGACCTTGCTATTACTTTTACATGAGGAAGTAAATAGTTAACTATATAGACTGATTTTTTTTTAAATCCAGCTTACTATTCAGATAGTAAAATTTCAGAGAAGGCACTGGATTTTCTAACTCTGTTGATTAATTTGGTAATTTGCATAAATAATTTACATAAATAATACTGCTATTTAACTACAGTGAGCGACCCAGCTCCCAAATATTAGGAAAACATTCAATCTAATGAACACTTATTAAACATCATTTTACCTAAGTGGAAAAGGATTATTCCTCCTTTATGAGCTTCCTCAGGGCATAGCTTCTTGAAAGTCGATATAATCAATTAATTTCCAGTATAATATCCTAAGACAGTTTTATTAACTTAGTGGTTATTCAATTAATAATAATTAAGCGTATTTTTTCAGACTCAATCACTGATCACTTGGTAGTAATTAACTAAACAGAACCACAAAATGGAGTCAGGAATGAAACTGATTTCATCTGGATTAAGTTAATAGGGTTTACAGTGCAATTCATGGAGGAAGACAAGGATAAATGCCTGCAGGACAAAATTGCATGAAATGATTAAAGGGAGCAGTGCTGACCTTTATTTTGAACTAGAATAGCTTTCCCATCTAGTCTCTTCACTAAGAATTGTTCATTCCCAATATTTTCCAATCCTTCTGGGCATATTAAAACAGGAAAGATTGAATATTAAGAGATTTTCCTTCTGGCCCAATATAGTAATATAAATAAGGAATCCGAGTCTAATTATCCACCATTACATTCATCCCCTAAGAAGAAAATAAATGTAAAGTTTAAAAACATGTTTAATACGTTAGTCTTTTTTAAAGACCTAGAGAAAGCCTCATTTCTGATTTGTATGGAAAACAAACATATAGTATATATTGTTATTTGTTTCTGATTTTAGAATTTGAAGGAGGAGGACAGGATGGAGGACCAGCGGTAAAATGCAGCACCATGAGACAGACCCACAGGGGAAGTTTCCAGGTTTCATATTTGGAGACCTCCCTGAATACACTGGACACCCACATGTCCCTGTTCTGAGGTTGACTGAGGTGAAGGGTGGGTCAAGCTGTCAGGACCCTGTCGGAATTTTCTCTTTCTCTCCGTCTCTCCTTTTCCTTTGTCTTTCCTTCCATTCCAAACAGTGCAGTCCTAAAGCCATGAACTGAGTCAGAGTAAGGTAGGCTTCTTTCCCTGAAGACAGAGGCACAGTGGCCGAGAGCAGGGTTGTCAGAGCTCAAACGGAGCAAGTGCATGACCACCCAGGATGTCTGCCACATGATGGGGAGCCGGTGCTGGGTGAGAAGAGTGTCCACAAGAGGAAGCAATCTACTGGGGGCTGTCAGAGCCCAACCAGGGCGAGGCAGCCAACCAGGCACGGGGGCTGCCCAGCACACAGTGCTGAAGCCTATCGCAGTAAAAGGCCATCCATGAAGTGGGGACAGCCTGGCACAAGGTGTCTCATGCCAAGTGAGGAGAGTACCTCTGTGTGTAAGAAGACATCACCAGAGGTGTGTTATACACAGGGGGTGGATAAAATAAATGAATTAAGGACATTAAGGGTCGAGTTTCTCATTGTCAGAGAAAGGACATGCAAATATGGAAAGGAAAAAAAAATCTAGAATGAACCCTGGGGTGTCAGATTGGAATTGGAAGCATCAGGTGAACTCATAATTTTCAGTTTACATGGTGTAGAGATACAAATAAATAAATAAATAAATAAATAAATAAATAAATAAATAAAGATGCAGCTGTGTCTTTACAAATGCATACAAATAAAACCACATATACGTTGCCTAGCTCTCTCTTCCAGGAATACCCATAGTAATGAACACAGCTAGCACACAGATCCTGGGTTATAAATACAATAGCCGGACAGAAAGCTAGGTTTCTTTAAAAAATGGAAGATTCTAGAGCTGGAGAAGGGAAGTACAGAATAAGTGTGTAACATCTTGTTGTATCAGAGAGTAAGGAAGTAATCAAAGAATAATGAAGAAACGTCAAAAGGAGATAGAAGCAAGCCTGACAGATCTGCCTTGGGCAATCCAAGGATAATTGGAGTGTCAACATTAAAATAGTAATTATAACCTACTACATGAAATAGGAAAACATGAGTCCAAACAGATTTAAATGCATTTTTGAATTAAATGTTTCATAACAAATATAATTTCAAAGCTTTAGAGGGAGTTAAAACTAACTTTCAATGGAAAATTCTGACATATCAACCTATCAGGTAATCAAAGTAAACTTCACTAGTAATGGGACAAATCTAAATTGTATAAGACCTGATAAGATGCAAAAGAGAACAGGTATTTCTACTGTACTAGTCAGTATTCTCCAGAGACACATGGCAGATAGATGATAGATGACAGATAATAGATGAGCTAGCTAGCTAGCTAGATAATTGATAGATAGATAGATAGATAGATAGATAGATAGATAGATAGATAGATAGATAGATAGATAGATAGATAGATAGATAGATAGATAGATAGATAGATAGATAGATAGATAGATAGATAGATAGATAGATAGATAGGAAAAGAGGATTTATTAGGGAAACTGGCTCACATAATACTGGAGGCTGAGAAGTAACACATTAGACTATCTGGAAGATGGAGAACCAGGGAAAAATGTTAGAATGGCTGTCCAAGTCTAAGGGCCTCAGAATCAGGGAAGTCAATTGTGTAACTCTTAGTCTGAGGCCAAAGGCTTGAGGAGGTAGTGGTGACAGTGGGGTGTCACTAGTGTAAGACCTAGTGTTTTGCATGCAGAAGAGAGACCAACATCACCTTTCCCCTTCCTTTTTGTTCTATCCATGCCCCCAGATGACTGGACAGTGCCTACATTGATAACAGACCTTCCCTAATCAGTCCACCACTCACAGACCAGTCTGCTCCCAGACACACCCAGAAATAATGTTTTACCAACTCTCTAGGTACCCTTAATGTAGTCAAGTTGACACCTAAAGTTAATCATCACCTACAACAGATGCATAGCCTGAAAGAAATCATGAAGAAACATCAGACATTTTACAAAAGAACTGACCCATGAAACTGCCAAGGTCAAAGAAAGACTGAGGACTTCTTTCAGACTGAAGGAAAACTAAAATGAAAACTAAATGTTGCACGTGACTCTAAACAGGAGCCTTTTGCTATAAAGCACATAATTGAAATGATTGGCAAACACAGTCTAAAGATTATAAATTAGCAATGTATCAGTGTTAACTTGCTCATTTGGTTGGTTGTATTGCAATTAGGTAGAAAATGTGCTTACAGAGAAACACACAGTACAGTATTTAGGTGTGAAGAGACATCAGGTCAACCACTAAGTCAAGTTTTCAGGAAAAGAAAAAGTTTACTGTCCTATTCTGGGCCAGTCGCTCAGCTTAAGTGGTTAAGGGAGCAGAGTTCCACAGGGGTGACCATGGTTTGCATGCCGGCTCTGACAGCTTGAAAACATGCTGGACACATATGATGCGTGCTCCAAATTCCAAAAGAATGGAGAAAAGTTGGGGTAGGGATTATAGCATGACCACGCCTTCTCTCTCTCTCTCTCTCTCTCTCTCTCTCTCTCTTCTCGGGGGTAGGGAGGCAGGATGCTTTTTTCCTCATCTCTGACTCTGGTAAGTGCATGGACTCTCTGTTGGAAGGAAGGAAGAAAGGAAGGAAGGAAGAGACAAAGAAGAAGACTGAGGACTAGGTTTGACTTCATGACCTCTTGAGTCTAGTTGCCAATTCAGAGTGTTCCTTCTCACTTCTCTTTTTTCTTACTCTGTTCCTTCATTATTAAAGGATCAGAGTATGTGATCTGGGCCCTGGTTATTGAGTTCTTGTCCAGCCCTCAGGTTTAGTTAACAAGGACAACAATATTTGCTTTTGTATAGTGAGTCCCATGTTCTGAAGCACAATCATTTGGGAATCATTTTTCTTTGTAGAAACTGAGACCTACTCGAGACAAATAAAAACAAACAAAAAGATTGGAGGTGGGTGTGAATGTCAGACTCTGTATCAAGTCTCTGCCTTATACTGGGATTTGGTTTTGTATTTTCCTTCCCATTCCACACTATCTTAGCATATTTATGTGTGTTCAAAGTAAATAGAAAATTAGCAGTTATACTTAAACATAACCGGCCCTAGGGCCTAGTAGTTGAGGGAGTCAGGTCCCACATGGCCAACTGCAGTTTGAATCCCAGCCCCTGCTGAGAAACATACCAAGCATGTGTGCATGCATGACCCAGATCCTGATGGGTAGAGAAATAGAGAAGCAGGTACTGCAGCATGACTGTACCCCACTAAGGGTGCTTTCTCCTTCTCTCTCTATTTCTTCTCTAGTGAACACATGTGCCCTCTGGCAATTAAAAAAAAAATAAGCCAGTAGATGGTATCACGGTTGGGATACTGGACTCCCACATGGCTGACAGCAGTTCAAGTCCTGCGCCTGGTGGTTTAAAAATCATACCAGGTATGTTTGCATGCATACCCAAAATCCCAGGAGGAGAATGGACAAGAATGGATTGTGGTGTGGACATTCCTCCCTCCTCCCTGAGGGTGATTTCTCTCTGGAGAGTGCATATGCCCTATGACCGAAACAAAAAAAGAAAAAAAAAAAAGAAGTTAGGCAAAGTCACTGCATACACCATACACATAAAGAAATATACTATGTAATATGCCAACGTTATTTCTGGATGATGAGATTTTTAAGTGACTTGTCTAATCATGCATTTTTGAAATCTACAATAAACATATATTACCTTCATAAATATATTTTTTTAAAGAGCAAACACAGAGACCAACAGATAGGATCATTATTATATTGCTGGACTTCCACATAGTCAAGTGCAGTTCGAGTCCCAGACCTGGCAGCCTGAAGCACAGTGGGCACTTGTATGTGTGTGTTCAAGATTCCAAGAGGAGACTGGAGGAGAAGGGATTGTGGCATGGCCATCCCCTCTGGGGGTTGATTTCTTGCTTTCTGTCTCTCTGTCTCTGACACTCTGGTGAGCGCACATGCCCTATAGCAAAAATCTCTCTTAAAAAAAAAAAAGAAAAAAAAAACAGGAAACATGTAAGACTTTTTTTTAATTCTTAACCTCTTTACTCCATATATATCCCAGAAGTTATAAGAGTGAGATTCAAATAAACCAATTAAATGATTGTTGGTAAAATTAACAACCATAACAATAACTCAAGAAAAGATTTAGTTACTTCTAGGATATAAATATACATGAGATTCTTCCGATTGTATCTTATATGCTGGTTACACACCAGCTGCCAAAGTATTATTGCCTATTTTAATCTAGAAATATAATATTTTACTATTCTCCACTGCCAAGATTTCCAAGCCATGCTTAATAGTAGGCAGCTTCACAAAGGGAAACCAGCTCTTTCTGGAGGAGTGACTATCACCCAGCCTCCGGATGCATAGAATCATGGAACAGCAGAAGAAAACTCACTGCTGTCCTTAGGAGACATTGCTGAGGACTTTGATTATTATTTTACTGCAATTTCTCCATGAGATATTCCTCACTGGCTTTCTTAGTATCAAGAAGGGTTTTGTTCTTTCTAAGTCACTTTTGGGCCTTTATTTCTCTACATATGAGCTACTGGGAAGTGAAGTGCCAACTTTGTAGCCAACCTGAGCAAAGAAACCCATCTTACAGCACACATTTCATGTAATAAACCAACTCCGAGTCTCATCAGCAACTTCCCACCCTCATTTCAGATTCTGCTATTCTCATCCACTTGCTTCCAATTTTAAGTATCTCTTTATACCACATATATTTTGGCAAGTAATCTTAAATCCTCTCTGGGATACGAAAGCCAAAAATAAATGCATGCATACAAGTGTACATATAGACATACAAATGTACATATGCATGCATAGATCATGTCATGATGACTATGTGAAGCATTGATTCTTGGCTGTGTGAGTTACTATGTTTCTCATACCATGTCTGCCTATCACAAGTAATATTCAATAAGTAATTCAAATATACTACCCTAAATTCTTGTCCTTTCTAATATTTCTAGTCCATTGCCCTTAATATGCCACAATTAGAGACAAAGTCATTTATAAGCAAAGTAACTGCTTCAGGATCTGAATTCAACCATGCGATCCATTTGGCCTTGCTGGGCTGATTCACACCTCTTAGTATGTTAGCAGAATTCTCTAGATTGCCCTCAAGAGGAAACAGAAATACCTCCCTTAAGGTACTCTCTGACTATAAAAGGACTGATAGTTTGTTTCCAAAGCTGCATGTGGAAGAAGGAGAGGATAAGAAGAGAGAGGGAAAGATTTTTGACATGTTCTAACTATCTGATCATATAAAGACACATGTAACTATTTCCAGTTTTTGAAAAAGAAAATCATGTGCAAGTTAGTAACAGTAAAAGTTATGTTTCCCATATTAGTGAGTCAATGAATGTTGACATGGGAACTGACGGCACGGAGAAACATTTCTCAGATATTTAAAACAAGAGGCAAAGAAAAGTGTGTGTGTGTGTATGTATAAAATAAAGTAAGATCAGAGGAAACAAAGATCACGAGAAAGAACCAAAATTTTGGGGCCAGCAGGTGGCATAGTGGTTGAAGGGTAGGACTCACATGGCCTACCTTGGTTCGAGTCCTGGATTCAGCAGATTGCAACTCATGCCAGGTACGTGTGCCTGTGTGCCCAAAATCCTAAGAAGAGAATGGAGAAGAAGGGATTGTGGCATGTCCATATCTCTTGGGGGGGGTGGATTTCTTACTTTCCCTCTCCCCATGTCTGTCTCTCCAGAGTGCACGTACCCTCAGGCAAAAACCTTAAAAATAAAAGAGAGAGAGCCAATGTTTGTTGTAATACAGAGCCCTCCTTTAGATTATAAACAAAATAAGAAAAATGTCCAACCTAATATTCATAAAAAGTTGGGTTTTATTTCAAAAATAGAAATATGGTTTTGATTTTTTAAGCTTTGGTGATTATTCCTACATTGAGCTAACACTCAGTAGATTTTCTTTTTTAACCAGTCACCACTGTGACAAGTATGTTTTCAAAATGATTCCACTCATGGGGAATATAAAATTTTGATCCAAATCAGTTCCTTGAGATGTGGCTTTAGGAGAGATTCCAAGGGAAACTGCTGATATTGCAGGTAAATAGCAAGTGTTTACATTTCCAAAGCCTCGAAAGCTGTGTTCTGGAGGAGCCTGCCCCTGAAATCAGAGCTCTAAGAGAGGACAGAATGAAACCTCAGAGCTCGGCGCAAATGTCCCAAACTTTCACAAACTTGAGCAGGCACAACTAAACCTTATTTCCTAGAACCATAAACAACAGGGTACAGAGGGAAACTGGAAACCTAGAATTCCCATTAAGCCATTAAAAGAAATTGTTCAAATATTCCAGGAAATGGTCGAAAGATATTTTATACAAAAATTGCACCACTTTCTTCACTAGGCAGAGAACGAAATGAGTTTAGAATGCCTACAACAAGGAGAAGCCACTGACCATGTACACGTATACACACGTGCACGATCCGTCCCTGAGTTATGAAGGCTCCACTTACAGTTTTTGTACTTTAAAAAGGTGCGGACTGGGCTGCCTCTCTCTCTCTCTCTCTCTCTCTCTCTCAGATTTGCATTTGCTGCCAAATTATGTTGGTCAATCATATTTATTATTGGTTTATCTTATTATTGTTGATAAACATCTTTTTATTATTATTTTAATTGACACATAATAATTGTACACATTGGGCTTAAAATAAAATTTAAAAATAAAATAGTCTGTGTTAGACAATTTTATCTAATTGCTGGTTAATGTAAATGTTCTAAGAATGTTTAAGGTAGGCTAGGCTAAACTATGATGTTCAGAAGGTCTGGTATATTAAACGTATTTTGACTTATAGTATTTTCCATTTACAATGGGTTTATTGGGAACACAACTTCATTGTAAGTCAAGGAACATCTGTATACATACACAAATAAAACACGCACATACACACACACAGATACACATCTGTGTGAATGAGTACCTCAAATGAGGTACATACAAATGAGTATCTCCTTCATATAGTTGTTCCAAGAACTAAAATGTTAATTACTTAGAAGGTTGCCTTGTTCTTAATATGTATTATGTGTATTTTTAAAATAACTAAGTAATAAATAAGATAAAAAACAAGGTCCATAAGGAAGTCATGCATGACTGTGAAAATTAAAAACAATCTCCACCAGCTCTCAGGAATGGTCTATCAGAGGATGCCATGCAGGAACGGGATCTGTATTAGACTTGGTAAGAATAAGTGCAAGCTAATCAAATGGGCAAGTAGGAGATGTGAGACTCCTTAAACTCATCCTCTGGTATATCCAAAATTGCAAAGGAAACCAAACTAGGACCAGGGCAAGAGTTCCACCCAATTTCTAGTTTAGATTCATAATTCAAGAGGATTTTACATTTTATTACTTAATACATTTATTTTTGTTTGAAACTAAAAATAATGTCTTTGGGAACCAGCAGTTAGCGTAATGGCTATGTCGCTGGATTCCCACGTAGTCGACCGCGGTTCGCGTACCGGACCCGGTGGCTTAAAACTCACGCCGGGCGCGTGTGCGTGCGTGCCCATGATCCCGAGAGGAGAATGGAGAAGAAGGGATTGCGGCGTGACCATCCCCCCTGGGGGGTGATTTCTCGCTTTCTGTCTCTGTGTCTCTGTCTGGCGAGCGCACGCGCCCTATAGCGAAAATCTCTCAAAAAAAAAATAATAATAATAATGTCTTTTATTTCTCACCACAGAGTAAAAGTATTGAGGTAGACATGCCGTCTCTCCCAGGGGCAGGTGCACCCTTATCTGGGAAATAAAGGAGCACAGAGACTAGAAGATGAAAGGATAGAATTCATTGGAAGGATTAGAAGTTCAGGTGGCTGGAGTCAGTGACTAGCAGGAAACTCCATAAATCCCACTACAAGCTTCATCAGGAGGAAACCCCATGGCAGGCGTCCTACAGAAAGTTTACTAATTGCTATGGAAATGGGACGAAAGAGCCTACTAGAGATAATTAAGCATGACATCCAAAATTTATATCAATAAATAGATACTCTACTCTCCAGTTCTTAGTCCTGAGAGCCCAGCTAAGGTCAGAAAGAAACAAAAAAATATTCTAGAATCTGGCATGATTCCAAGAAGACACTCATTGTGACTGAGCAGTTTCACCTCAGAGAAGAGATGTGATTCCACAGGGTGGTGCCTCTAGGTTTTGCTTTTTGTTTATACATATCCAGAAATGTAATTTTTTCCAATATTCTGAGTGTTGAATGTCCTTTCTGATTTTGGCTTCCACTAGCCAAACTCTCAAAGATATAAAAATATAAGGCCAGTCTCAAAGCCTAATGGTTAAGGGAGCTGGATCCTACATGACTAACCAGTGTGGTTCAAATCCCTGGTCCCAGCAGCTTGAAAAACATACCTGGCAAGCGTGCAGGTGCCCAGATCTCAACAGGATGGAGAAACAGAAGAAAGGATATTGCAGCATGGGGGATGCTTTCTCCTTTTCTCTCCTTCTCTTTCTTTTTCTCTCTCTGAAGAGCATACATGCCCTCTAGCAACTAAAGAGAGAGAGAGAAATATAAAGTATAATGTTAATTTATCGACTTACAAATGAGAAAAACAACTTTCATTGAAATGGAATGCCAAATAATAAGTACTGAGCAAACTATTTACCAAACACAGAGCTAAATGTCTTATAAATCTTACTATATTTGAAGACTGAATCCACCACAAGAGCTGAGATCTAGTGATTTCAGAGAGAAGGCAATGAAGATGTTCTGCTGAGAATTTACCCTGGTAAAGTCGCATACAAAAGGAAAAAAATGCAATGCCAAAGAGTTTGCAGACCCCATCCTCCTGCACTCTCTGATCCTCAGATTGATCTTCTAGGAAAAAACGAATACCAAAGGATGACTAGAAATCACCACAGGGGAACAAGAAATATGAGAAACCAAGAAAATACTTCACCCTCAAGGGAAAAGAATAACTCCTTTTCATCCACAGACAGAGTATTCATAATGAAAAAACTAACAGAGATGGAAGAGAAGAGAGACAATGAATACCAGGAGAAAAAATCCAATGAGTTCCAGGAGGTGAGGAAATTCTTATAAGAACTGAAAGAGGAAATACATACCATAAAAAAGAATCAAATGGAGCTGTTGGAGATGAAGACTATAATACAAGAAGTCAAAACATCCTTTGAAAGTATTCAGAGCAGACTAGATCATACAGAAAATCAAATCTTAGATGTAGAAGACAAGATTGCTGGACTAGTAAAATCCACCACAAAGCCTGAGAAAATAGCCCCAAAAAAGGAGAACAGTATACGAAAAATACTAGATACCATTAAACATCCAAACACATGGATAATTAGTATTCCAGAAGGTGAAAAGACTAATAAGGGGCACTGACAATCTGTTCCACGAAATCCTGGAAGAAAATTGCCAAACCTAGAGAGACATTCAAAGATCCAGACCCAAGAAATACAAAAGACCTCGAATAGGATCAACCCAAGGGAACCAGCAGTTAGCGTAATGGCTTATGTCACTGGACTCCCACGTAGTCAACTGCGGTTCACGTCCTGGACCCGGTGGCTTAAAACTCACACCGGGCGCGTGTGTGTGCGTGCCCATGATCCCGAGAGGAGAATGGAGGAGAAGGGATTGCGGCGTGACCATCCCCCCTGGGGAGTGATTTCTCGCTTTCTGTCTCTGTCTCTTTCTGTCTGGCTGGATGACCAGATAATCAGTATCCCAGAAAGTGAAGAGATTAATGAGGACATTGACAATCTATCCATGAAATCCTGGAAGAAATTTCCCAATCTACAGAGGCATTCAAAGATCCTGACCCAGGAAATACAAAGGAATCCAAATAGGATCAACCCAAGAAGATCTTCTCCAAGTCGCACTATTGCCAGAATGACCAAAACCACAGACAAAGACAAGATGCTCAGACTGGCAAGAGAAAAACATCAAGTTACCTACAAAGGATATCCCATCAGGCTAACAGTGGACTCTCATTGGAAACAATGCAAGCAAGGAAAGAATGGGAAAATATATTCAAAGTGTTGAGTGAAAAACGATTTCAACCAAGAATACTATATCTGGCAAGACTATCTTTCACATGGGAAGAGAAGTCAAGAACATTCTCAGATAAACAAAACCTGAAAGAATTTACCAACACCAGACCAGCTCTCCAAGAAGTTTGAAAGAGAATGCTATCCCAGGAAAACTAAGGTCACACACATAGCAATAGGAGTTCTAAAACAGCTAAGAAAATGGCCAGCTTAATGCTAGGGACAAGTCCAGAGTTGAAAATTATCTTCCAGAATTTAAAATGGAAAGATTGAACCACAACAGAAGATAAAGTCCTTGAGTTTGAACTGGCAAAATAGAATTTTATGACTTTTGACTAAACCATTACTGACCTTCTATGCTTTGTTTTCCAGTGTTAAGGAATTTGGCTTCTCTTGAGTTATGGACCGATCCATGTACCTACTATTCAAACAGAATCCTAACCTGTTTCCTGGCTTAAAGTATTAAGCAAAGTTCTCATAACATTTTTTTATTTTGATTTGTTAAAGCTAAAACTGCCTTTCTTGAAATTTAAAAAAAAGTATTTAAAAAATACCTTACTACAGTAAGTTATATAGCCTCAGCTAGGTGCTATTTTATAATATATTCATTCTAACCACAGAATTCCATGCCTAAAGTCAACTTTTGTTCACAGATATGTGTATATAAGCTGAACTTAGTATTGAAAGTATTTAGATTAATTAAGATATACTGTGAATCAACACAATGTGGGAAAGAATAAAGGAATGGAAAGCAGCTGCAGATACCAGAGAAATGGAAAATTATTTGTTGATGATAACATGTATGATTAAGCCACTTTACAGTGTATTCTGGCTGGAAAATCACATTTGGTATGCTGTGATGATGTTCAATGGAAGTATGTAAAATAAATAAATTAATAAGAAATTTAAAAATTAAAGATAATAAGGTGAATGCAAAATAAATAGATAATTTAAAGAAAAAAATCTTACCATACTTAATTCTCAAAAAATCCTATAATGTTGGAACCAGCAGTTAGCGTAATGGCTATGTCGCTGGACTCCCACGTAGTCAACCACAGTTCACATCCCGGACCCGGTGACTTAGAACTCAACGCTGGGCACATGTGCGTGCATGCCCAAGATCCCAAGAGGAGAATGGAGAAGGGATTGCGGCGTGACCATCCCCCTGGGGGGTGATTTCTCGCTTTCTGTCTCTCTGTCTCTGTCTGGTGAGCGCATGCGCCCTATAGCGAAAACCTCTCAAAAAAAACCTAAAAAAATCCTAGTATGTTGATGTTGAATCAGCTGTTAGTGTTCATCAATATCTTTGCATATACCTACTTTTTTTTTGTCTCCCTTGCAGTTCTCTTAGCCAACTAAATGTAAACTGAAGAAATAGTTATTTCTAAGCAGGGATGGTTATGTGTGTGGCAGGCCTTTCCATTGCTCTCGCTTTCCCCCAACACACAGCAGGAAAGCAAACAACTCTGAAATGTTGAGCCAACGGACTGGGAGAAGAGAGGGGTGTTGGGGGAAAGATATCACAGAAGACTTCCCATTTTTATTTTTGAAGTTTCTTTGTTTTTTCTGAAAGAGAGAAAGGCACTCCCAAGAGGGTCCTCATTTGTGATCCAGCCTCAGCCTCCACCAGCCAGAATTATGGTACACACATCCCTGAGTATAGAGGACTCGAGACAGAAGCCTTCTCATGTGGGTCCAGCATCACAAAGTGTGGTACTGACTGCCTGTGCACCACTGGCCAGTCCTGTTCTCCTTTCCAAATATGCATCTCAAGGACCAGGTCAGACCAAGACAAAATTCCCAAGTGAGCTGGGGGAAGACACGAGAAGCTGTAGCAGTCATCACAGCACCTGGAGGATCGGCAGGGGCAGAATGGGAAGAACTGGTTCAGAGGCATTGATAAGTGGAGGAGGTTGAAAGAGAAAAGTTTGTAGCCAAAGGGGATATAACTATGGGTAATGTATTTCCAGGGACGACAAGCCTAGGGGACAAGCACACCAAGGGCTGGCAGAGGTGGAGAAGTCTTTGAGACAATCAGGGGGAAATGAAGAAAGGATCTGAATGAGCCATTAAAATATTAAAAATATTAAAACCAAGTCATTGCTTTAGATTTATGAAATGCAAATCCACATTTTAATATATAACATACTCAGACATGGACATCTGATACACTTGGAATCCTGCCTCACGCTCATTAGTGATTTTCTGCATTATATGCATGTGTCACCCAGACTGGTTTATTTTAAATCCTATAGGATATAGGTTTGATACAAAACTTTAATCCAATATATTTGCCTTTGTTAACAAGAATAAATCACATGAAACTGACAAGTCTTTGGAAGAGACTTAATGAATTTCTATTTTGATTTTGAGATATGAAAATATGAATTCTGCTATTGTCTTCAACTAACTATTTTGATTTTACCAAAGAGGCATAATAGACTCATTCTTTTAAAACAGCTTTCTTAAATATCCCAGCTGTTTAGTATATTCTGTTTTCCAAGTTGCTACTCTACTTTAATTAAAAGTCTCTCCTAGAACCACCAGTAGGTGGTGTGGTGGTTAAGGTGTTTGATCCCACATGGTCAACAGCGGTTCAAGTCTCAGACCTAGCAGCTCAAAAAAATACATGTGGTGAGTGTGTGTGCATTCCCAACATCCTGAGAAAAGAATGGAGGAGAAGGGATTATGCCATCAACATCTGCCCTGGGGCATGATTTCTCACTTTCCCTCTCTCTGTCTTCCTCTGGCAAGCACACGTGTCCTATGACAAAAATCTAAAAATTCTTAAAAAGATTACATTTTGTTAGTAACTCAGTAACACATATGCTATTGCAATATCACCAGAAAACACTTTTAAAACTTGAGTGAGCACTCTTCCAAATAATGGACAAATAAGATGGAGAGTGAGAAATCTACACATTTTTCAGAAGCACCAATCCTATCACAATCTTTGGATGTTTCTTTTTCTTTTTCTTTCTTTGTTTTTTTCTTAGAGAGTTTTTGCTATAGAGTGCATGCACTTGCTGGAGAGACAGAGAGAGAGACAGAGAGATGAAAAGTGAGAAATCAACCCCCTGGGAGATGGCCATGTCACAATGTCTTCTCAAGTCTCCTCTCAGGATCCTGGGCACACATGCACATGTGCCCGGCATGAGTTTTAAGTCGCTGTGTCTGGGACTTAAACCATGGTCAAGTACGTGGTAGTCCAGCAACATAACCATTATGTCATCTACTGGTCTCTTTTTCGTTTTATTGTTTAAATGACTTTTCTCTTACAATTTTGCACTCTCCAAAGAGAAAGAGACAGCAAGAGGTAACATGAGAAATCACTCCCCCTAGGGGGGCTGGCCATGCCACAGTCCCTTCTCCTCCATTCTCCTACCAGGATCTTGGACATATGCACACATACATGCCTGGTGTGTTTTTCAAGCCACTGGGTCTGGGACTTGAACCACGGTAAACCATGTGGGAGTCCCATAA